ATGGATGAATGCATGGATGCATGAGTGCATGGACAGATGTATGTATGTATGGATGGATGGATGCATGGATGCATGGATGGATGGATGCATGGATGGATGGATGCATGGATGGATGAATGGATGGGTGGACAGATGAAAAAAGAACTTCTCTGGGAAGATCCCCATTTCCAGGGTGAACCCCCCAAGTAGTCCAATTTGGATGGGCCTTGGTATCCCCAACACAACCTGCTGCATGGACTCACCTGGCTTCTCGCTTTTTGGTACCGATGGTGAAATCATCTTCTTCGGGGATTGACTATAACCAACACAAATGAGAGGCTGGGAAGGTCAGGCTGGCGCACATGGCAGCAGAGTAGCAGGGTGGGCAGGGCAGGGAGGGAAGGCACTCTTGAGAGGTGTCACCCCTCCTGGAGACCAGCAAGTCTCTTTTCCAGCGGCCACAGCCCTGCCCAGGGTCCTGACTACCTTGAGGCCCTCTCTTGCAGCAGCCACAGGAAGCCCAGGCCCTGCGGTCCCAGGAGTGGGATGGAGCTCCCTGCACCTGCCTGCCCCACACCCTCTGCTCCTGCTGCTTCCTCCAAGACAGGGACCCCCCAGTTTGAGTGGATACCCCGTCCTCTGCTGTCTTAGGGAGAAGCACATGCACAAGCACAAATCATGCTCTTATATCTTATATCAGCTTTATGCTTGGCAAGCCCTTCTCTGCGGCCAGTGTAGTTTGTCTTACCTCCAACTCTGGGTGAGGGAGTTTGGGGAAAGTGGAACTGAGCTTACAGGTGGAAGGCGGCTTACAGTGGGGCCTGACTTCCTCCTGAGCCTCCCCTGGTCTCTCAGAATGGAAAAGAAAGCCACGTTCAAGGCCAGAGCAAAGACTCTAATCTTCAACAAGTCTGAGCACCCACTCCCTCCTCACCACGCCCACCCCTATTCCAACCATCCCCAGACTCAGCACTCCCTAAAGCGTGCATACTCGCCATCTCTATTTCTGAAGTTCCCTAGCCCTCTCATCAAACTTCAAGTCCTATCCATGCCAGCTGAGTGCCACAAATTCTATCACAACTCTTTGGGTGATTATTAAAACTACACTTGCTGCGTGTTCACCCCCTCCCTGCTGGGCTAGGATTCTCCAAGATCCTGCATGTTTTTTTGTTTGTTTGTTTGTTTGCTTTTTAAGATTTATTTATTTGTGCATACAGAGCTGGGGTACAAGCCAGAGGTGCAGGGGTGGTGAGAGGCTTCACCAGAGACAGAGTGGGGAGCAGAACAGGCAGATGGACGAAGTACACTGCTGAGGGGAGCAGTGGGCGAGACAGGAGAGGTCTGCTGCACTATGTGGGTCAGCTCCGGGGCCAGGGATTGAACTTGCACTGAAGCGGCTGCAGCCAGCTTGCAGTGCTGCATCCTAACCCGCTGCACCATCAAGGAGGGTCCATTCTGCATTTTTTAATAAGATCCTGGTGACTCTGAGTGCTGCTGGGCATGGCTCACCCGCTGACCAGCTGAGTAACTTGGGGCAATCACTCAGCTTTCCCTGAGCTTAAGTTTTGTCATCTGTAAAATGGAGATCATACTGCCTCTGTGGGTGGTTGTGGACCAGAAAGAGGTAAGAACCTGGTGGCCAATATTTCTGGCTCCATTGCTAACACTCAGGATTGACTCATCTGCTTTGTGGGGCCTTCCTGGACCATCCCTTTCTCTTTCCCCTCCAGACATAATCCTGGCAGAAAGGTACTGCTGCCCTGTTAGCATTTCATGCCTACTTCTGTCTTCCCAAAGACCAGCACTTCTGGAGGCCTGGATGGGGCTAATTCAGCCCTGACTGGCTACAACAGACACAGGTCAGCCCCAAGGCATCCCCCAGCCAGCAGTCAGGTCTGGTCTTCAGAGAGTACAGGCAGAGGGGAAGGGTCCCCTTGCATGCGCCAGGGCCTCCTCCTTGGGGCCAGCTCAGCCAGCCCAGACTGTGGCCAGCACCAAGCTCATTTCCCTGGACCTGCTGACCTCACCTAGGAGGAAAGGTGGCTGAGCATGAGGAAGCTGTTCTGGACACAGGAGGGCAGATGGGGGTAGATTTCAGCCCACCTGGAGGGTGCTGGCTGCTTTTCTTGTAATTCTTGTACTTCTTGGAGCTGGTCGAGCAGCTTTTCTGCTGGTATAGAAAGTAGTGGCTGGGGTAGGAGCTGAGCCACAGCCGTCTGCAGGAGCCCCAGTGCCAGGTCTTTCTCTATAAGACAGCCAGGACAAGTCTTCAGCGGCTGACCCAGGCCCCAGCCCCTCCCTAGGTGAAGCAGGCAAGACACAGGGCTCAGACCCTTGCCAGCCCTGGCCCAGGGCAGCTTTCTCTAACCAGCTCCCATTCTGATTCAGGCCTTAACAGGTGACGAGGGCCTGCGTCTCCCCTGGCCTGAGCATACAGGACACCCAATGCTTCTGCTCCTCACCTGCTGTGGAAGCACCGTGTGCTCTGTCCCTAATACCCTCTGGCCCACAGCACCGCACTTACCCACCCACCCCACCTCGGGGAGGCTTCTCTCCCCGCTTGTCTCCCCTCCCCCGCTGCGTTTCCCATCCAGGAAGCCTTCTTCAGCTTTGGGCCCTCATCCCTCCTCACCCTCTCAGATACACGCACTGTTCCCATGTCTGCATGCGTGCCCATGAGCGTCCGTGTACATAAGCATGTCTCTGTGTGTTTGTGCATCTGTGTGTGCATTTCCTTCCATGCTGAATGAAGGCTGAGTCTGTTGAGTATGGAGTACGGCCTTTGGATTTTTTCCCTCCTGGGCGCTGAGGCCTGTGTGTGATTGGTGTGAAGGACCCCCTCATGGAAGTCTTTTTTTTTTTAAAGGTTTATTTAATTATGCATACAGAACTGGAGTACAGGCCAGAGGTGCAGGGGCCTGAGAGGCTTCACCAAAGACAGAGTGGGGAGCAGACAGGCAGATTAATGAAGTACACTGCTGAGGGGAGAGTGGGCAAGACAGGAGAGGTCTGCGGTGTCATGTGGGTCACCTCCCTGGCCAGGGATCGAACTGGTGCTGAAGTAGCTGGGGGTAGTAGCCTCGCAGTGCTGCACTTTAATCTGTTGCACCACCCAGGAGGGCCACCCCTCATGGGAGTCATATTGAGGAATGGCGAGAAGGAAGTGGTGAGATTGCCTAGGTGGAAAAGGTTAGTTTGAGACTCCCAAAAGGAAAAAGGAGCAGCCCAGGTGGAAGGCCCTGGGGTGGGAGCCAAGTGTCATCCAATCAGCAGAGGCAGAAAATGCCCTTCCTCATCCACCTCAGAAAAGAACCCAGGCACCCTGGGTAGGTAGCTGTGCTCTCACCTTTTGGTGGGGCATAGAGTAGCCAGAACTGGATAGAACTCAAGGAGTCTGTCTGTAAGATCTGACACAGGAGCTCCAAGACCTGTGGGCAGAGGGTCTGGTCAGCGAGTCCTGTGGCACCTTCCAGCTGCAGCACAGACCCTCTCTGCCCTTCTGAGGGCCTCCCACAGCCACAGCTTGGCCACACTGGGTCCCCTTCCTCAAAACCCCCACCCTCATGGGACTTAACACTTTCCAGGGGCCGTCTGAGAACCCTGGAGGAAGGTCCTCACGGGACAGATGAGGAATTCATGACCAAGAGAGGACGCCTTTCAGGGACACTGTGACAGAACTAAGCCTCGTAATCACATAGGTGGGCCTTCATCCCTGTGTCCCCGTTAGAAGGGTTGTACCCCAAAGTCCTTCACTGGGAAGGCAAAGTCAGAAGTGGCCCATCAGTGGCTTGGAGACGCACCGAGTCTCGCATCCCTGGGTCCTTGGTGTGGGAGCTGCAAGGACCCCAGGGGCTTCCTCCCCTCCCTGGAGCTCTCAGAGTCTGGAGACGTTAGATAAGAGGTGACGTGGCCCCAGCGGGTAGCCTGAAGGCCAGGCCTGGCTTGTGCTGTGAGCTGCCTGGCTTGTACTGCAAACCTCCTGGCTTGCGCTGCAAAGGGCCTGGCTTGGGGCTCCGTTCTGCAGAGCAGCGTGTACACTTCGCTCCCAGCTTTCTCAGCCTTTGGCATCTTTGCTACTTCTGGACTTTTTCCCCCCTTCATTCTCCAGCCAAGAAAAGAGAGATCCAGCTCTGTCTCTGGTGGGCTACGGGGGACCCCTGCGCAGGGTGGCAGACGGCGGCTGCGGCGGCTACGGTGGGCTGAAGTCGGCACCCGTGGTGGGAGGTGGAGCCCCTGGAGTCCTAGGAAAGTGGGGTCCCCTCAGTGCTTGGCAGGCCCATCTCCCCGGGACCTGGAGGGGCTTGTCAGTCCCCAGCAAGTGTCTGCATCCTTGGCAGAGTGGAAACTGGGCTGGCCGCTCCCCACGTGTGTGCCACTCGGGGCTCACCCCCACCCCCATGTACACACCCACTGCAGCGGTCCCTCCCCTGGTCTGTCCCCTGAGCCCTTTGCTGCTCTCCCAATCCAACTTACCTGCCCTGCGCCCCCTCCCCATGGGACCCGAGAACCTAATTCCAGGCAAGGTGAGGCCGCCCTAAGGTGGAGAAAGTACTGTGCTCCAGTCCCAGCTCTGCTGCTTCCTCTGGGGACCTGGGCCACAGAATGGCACCTGGCAGGGCCTCAGCCTCCCCATCTGTGCCATGAGGATCTCAGGCCCTGGCTATCCTCTTCACTTCACTGGACTCCAAAGGGAGCACAGGCTTGAGAGTGCTGGTCACGGGGGAGATGCCCAGACGCTGCCTTCCCTGGGGGACACGGACATCTCAGCAGGGACCTCAATGCCGTAACACATGGAAGGAGACGTGGGCTCGTCTCAGGCCAGGAAGGGGAACCTCGGCTGTGGGGAAGGTGGGCTTTGCGCTTTGCCATAGCACAGAGTATGTGGAGTATGAGTATCTCAGGGTATGAGGAGCCACACAGGGGCGGCCTTGCAGGCTGCGGCATGTGGCTCCCTGGGCCTGCCTTAGGTCACTCTGGGCCTTCATCCCCACGCTTCTCATCCCTTCATTAGCCCATCAAATGCCACAGCTCAGCTAGACCTTCACGATGACGTGTTCATGCTCCCAATTTGGATAGACCGAGAGGGAAGGACTTGACAGGGAGGGAGAGCCTGCCATGGACGTCTAGGGGCAGCTAGAGCCTGGAGCCCGCAGTCCTGGCCCCAAGTCCAGAGGGTTCAGGTCAGGCGTGAGTACCCCTGGGAGAGGCCACACCTCGGAGCAGTCTGAGGAGTCCCAGCTGGGGTTTGGATGGGCCTGGGCGTGGTGCCACCAGGCTGTGCTCAGACCAGGGCCTCTGTGGGGCCTGCCCTCTGCCTTCCCAGGGCCTTACCAGCAGCTCCTGATCCTGCAGGATCAAGGTCTGAACTCCTTTATCTTTCCCCGAAGCATAGTTCCTTTGGCCGAGGCGGGAGGAGTGGCGGCCCAGGGCTCTGGTGGAGGTGGGGAGGAGCCTCCCCGTCTCAGCCGAGTACTTGGCTCCCTGCTCCCGCTGGGGCTCCTCCTCCTGCTGGGGCTTAAGTGTCAGAGAGAGAGACAGACTCGGCAGGCAGGGAAGGGGAGGGGAGAGGTGAGGAGGGGAGGTAGGGGAGGGAAGAGAAAATCGCTGGGTCACACCCTGGGGTGCCTATCATTGCCTCTTTTGGAATCCCAGCATCACAGCTGCAAGGATCCAGGATGTTGACTAGGCCACCCCCACTCCATCCTGTCCTAAACCCTTCTCCTAGTTCATCTCTTTCTCCTGTAGTTCTGGAATTTCCTTGAATGTGGCTGCCCTAGTGGACCTTGGGTGGTCTTCATGCATCCTCCTGGACAGACACTCCCTGCTGCCCCTCCTCCCCCCAGTCCATTGAGATTTGAAAACAATATCCTGTGGTAGGGCCCCCACTGATGTTGACTCCTAGCTCACTGCCCCCCCAGCTACCCCCCACCTCCCCCACAGTTTGGCATTTTTATTTGTCAGGACTGTGGATACAAGACCTGGGTCCTCTACCCCTGCAACTCCAGTAAGACTGGTAGTAAGTATCCTTCTGCCCATTTTAAAGTTAAGAACACCGAGGCCCAGCCAGGCCTGTCCTAGGACCAATTCCAACAACTTGCAGGCTGCTTCCCAATTATCTCTACTGGGATAGCAGCAAAAGGCCCCCATGAGATCACCCCCACCCTGCTTGAGTCAGTGATTCTCTGCTCCTTATGCGATCAGAATGAAACACATTCCTGCCTCACCTTTTCTTCAACCCTTGCTGCTGACTTCAAGCTGTCCCGCACTTTGCAGTCCCTGAGATGCAGAGCCGGACCCCTCTACTGGGAGAGCCACCCCTTCCACTAGTTGACCTCCCACGCTGTTGGGATTCCTCAACCAGGTACATGCTCTCCTCCTGAGCCCTCACTGCAGCCCTCTCCCTCAGGCCAACAGCACCTCAGATGACCGTGTGCTCTAGGGCTGGCTAGGACCCACTGGTGAGGAGCATCTAGGACAGGGTGGGGCCGTTTCATCTCTTCAGCACCCACCTCCTTGTCCTTCAGTTCGTTCTCCTTGGTGAAGATGGCCACCCGGGAGGCCAGCTCCTTCAACTCCTTCTTCCAGGCCTCTGGGAGGAGGGGACAAGATCCTGTTGTCCACATCTGGGCTCTCCTCCTCACCCCAGGTGCAGGCATGTTGGGAGGTCTACTCTCCTCCCCAGCCTTGCAAGGGGTAGAGCAGAGGCAGGGCCCTTGAGGGGATGGAGCAGGGATACTTCATTGGCTGGGTGTGGATGGGTGTGCAGAGTGCTGGAGGGGGTTATGTGGAGAATGTACCTGGCTGTATATTGTTCACTGTAGCTTTGCCTCTTTTGGGACTCTGAAGCTGGGCTGAGGTTTGGGCAAAGCACTATTACTAAAATACAGAACCACGGCTGCACTGGCTGTTCAAGGGCACGGCAGCGTGTCTTCCAAACCTGTGTATCCCAGCACTGTCTGGCCCTCAGTCTCCCTTCCCACCGTCCCGCTTTCCCACACCCTAGTAATGGAAAGGGCGAGGCTTGCCAGAGCACAGGCCCCTGGAACAGAGCTCCAGCACACTCTGTGCTGATGAGATGATATGTTGGTGCCCAAAACTACATTGCTAAATATTTCCAGTATCGGGCCTGTCTATAGCTGTCTGTCGCAAGGCTGCTGCCCAAGTCTGCTTGTCCTCTGCTTCGTTCAGAAGAAACTCGAACCCAAGCAGGGGTGCACTTGTTAGTACCTGGGGGGAGAGGGCTAATGCAGGTGCAGATGTCCAAGGAAATGAGGGGAAAAATAGAGGCCCCCACCATAACCCACTGGCATAAGAACATTAGCCCTTCCGTCTCAGGCACCCACCCAAGCGGGCTGCCCATGGGGAAGGTGTAACCCCAAGGTAGAGGGATCTCGTTCAAATACCTCCAGATGAAAGCTGGGGTTCCTGATTGGACTGTGGGTCGCCAATGGGGACAGAGATGTGGGGCATCTCCATCAGATAGTGAGGGAAGGAGGCCAGAGAGAACTTGTCCCTGACGACACAGATGGGCTTCCCGGTGAGATCTGTGAAGGGTTAAAGGTGTGGTAAAGGAGGCCCAGGTGGACCCCAAGAACTCTAGGAGACCAGTAGAGGCTAGTGGACTTGGGGAGCACAGCCCCACTTCTCCCAGTCTCCACAGCCCCTTAGATCCTCAAAGCTGGCCTCCCAGCTTTGCAACCAGCATGGTCTACCCCAGGGGCCCCAGCATGGAGGCAGGGGGTCAGGCTCAGGCTCATGCAGTCAGTTAGGCAGAGGGGGAAGAACCTGGGCTCCTTAGCCCCTCGTTCTGAGCCCTCTGTTTTCTATGGTGGGGTAGAACGTGCAGGTACGAGCACACAGAGGCCATGCTGGGGGCACTAGCCAGTCTGGGCTCAGAGCCCAGGTAGTGAGCTTTCCTCGCCCCGCACAGTACGGCTCACACCCTCTGTCGGCCTGTGTAGGGTGCAGGGCAGGCCGCTTGGAGGTGGTCAGGCAGCCCACGTGCCACGGCCCTCTGGCCAAGGGCTATGTGATGAGCTGCTATTATTGGGGCGTCAGCCTGGGAGGAGCAGCTGGCCAGATTCAGAATGGTCACAAGCTCTCCCCTCCTGAAACATCTCCCTTTGGTGCCGGGACCCCTTCATCTCCAGTTCTTCCCCGCTCACTGCCAATTCTTCCTCTCCTCTGTTGCTTCCTCCTTGTCTCTGTAACCTCCCACCTTGGGGTGGCCGGGCTCTGTCCCCAGGTGCTCCTCTCTGGGATGCACAGGTCTCCCATGCATGCACACGGGATGACCCTCTCCAGCCACGTCCACTCCAGCTCCATCCTCTAACTGGCTCTCACGCCTGCCTCTCTGCCCAGACTCCACACCCAGCTGCCCACTCGCCACCCGCCCCTGAGTGTCTGCAAAGCAGCTCATGCTTCTCACTTCCCGTGTCCCAGTCAAACTCCTGACCCTTCCCCACCTTCCAGCAGCTTATTTGCCTCAGTCAATGCAACTCCAGTTTCCAGTTGTTCCGTCCAAAAGCTGGGCATTGACCTCGGTTTCTCTCCCTTACCTTCCTGTTTCATCCATCGCAAATCCTGCTGGCTTTACCTTCAGTATAGCTCTGGGATGAGGTCACTTACACTTCCACTGCCACCTTCCTGGCTGTCCAGACAGAGGCCAGAGTCATTCCTGTCACTGCTTTGCTCCTGTCCCCCCAGTGGTTCCTATGTGAATCCAGGGCCGCTGCTGTGGCCTCCATACTGCGGCCCCAGCACACTCCAAGGCTCCCCTTTCTCTCCCTCCCTCCCCATTCCTCACTATCCTTCCAGATGTGCCCAGATGCTCTAGCCTCAGGGCCTGCGAGCTTGCTCTACCTGGGACTTTCTTCCGGTCCATGCCTACTCCTTCAGTGCTTTGCTCACATGTCTCCCTATTGGTCAGTGTCTCCTCTCCAGCCTTGGTACTCACTCTGGCACCTGGTCTATGTCCTAGCCTCTCCGCTACCTCAACTCTATGAGGGCAGTGGCAGCCTGTCTTACTCACTGTCATTTCCCAGGACTTAAAAATAGTACCTGACCCACATTCACATGCAATAAATGGCCAGTGGATGGATGGATGGATGGATGGATGGATGGGTGGGTGGATGGATGGGTGGATGGATGGGTGGATGGATGGGTGGATGGATGGGTGGATGGATGGGTGGATGGATGGATGGGTGGATGGATGGATGGATGGATCGATGGATGGATCGATGGGTGGGTAGGTGGAT